CTTGCCAAAGAACAGACCAGAGGTGTATTAATCAGCTCATGCAGCGGAGAGGAACGCAGGGACAGCAGTCTGGCAGCTCGCCCTGTTTGTAGAGCTTAGGCAAGGGCAGCCTTTCAATGCATTATCCCTCTTCTCATTTCTCTTGGTATCAATAACATTTGTACGTCTGCCTCCACCTCTTCTGAGTGCCAGTGAACACAAGTAGTGATGGCTAGGCACACCATGAATCAGAACTTAGTTGTGATAGAAACAAAAAAAAAACCCAGATTTGGCTCCTCAACGGAGACTGAGATGTTTTCCAAATCACTTTCATAATACATTCTGCTAGGTTCTGTTTCCAGTTTCTATCACCTTTCATACCTCCTTTTTACAGACAGATGATGCTTTCAGCCAACCTCATTTTAAAAAGCAGGCTTCTTTTTAAGCTCTGTTGTGCTGTTTTGGATGCTGTTGTTTGTTGCTTGCTTTTTTGTGGTGTTTAATAACATGAGTATTTCCAGCTTGCATGGTCTTGCTGGCTGAGCTAGCCCACAGAAGTGATTTATGGCAACCTGCTTTTATAACATATTAACTACAAACCTCCCGTGCTTTGGCAATCCTTGCTGTGTAAGCGTTCCTACATCTTGCTACGATTTATGGATGGTTATAAAGACTTCTGCTTCCTTGGTTTTCATGCAACGCATCCTCATGCAACTGTGTATTACTTCACATTATTTCTGGATCACACAGATGTCATTGCAACAAAGCGATAAAAAAAGGTATTTCCCTCAGAGCTGAATGTCATATCAAAGTTGCTTCTCACTAAGACTAAGCAAACTCAAGGAGTAGCAATGGGAGATTTCCTTCTGCAGAAACAAAACAGCAATTCTTAGCACAAAGCTAAAGATGTTTGATTGCCCAAGGAGAAATATGTTGTCTCTGCTGCCATGCTGCATTCCACCCACTGAACTCAATGCTGGGAAACACTCAGCCAGGTCAGTTTTCAGTCTACATGTGAAACCTTCACTGGAAGAAAGATGCAATGACTCTCAGAAATTGGAGTTACAATTATCTACACATTTCCCAATTTTTATTTATTTATTTATTTATTTTAAATGCTACCACAAGCATAAGCAAATTCCTTCCCATAATTTAACATAAAACTCTACCTGAGAGCTGGCAGGTGCATCCCCACAGTGATTTGGTGCTGTTCCTCAGCAGGAAAGACCTGACAAGGCTTCCTGCTCAGGGCTAGTGACTGATAGCAGTGAGAGATGACAAGTTTGAACAACCTCTGCATCCAGTGATCACCCTCTCATGTACTTACAGTGTATTACTGAGAGGAAGCATGAGTTTGTAGTTATAAGTTTTATCTTCCCTTTAATTATATTTTTTAGCATATAAGGAAGCTTTATGAATTCAAGTCTATTCCAGTCATGACTCTTGAAATATTTTTGAGGTAATCTTAACATTTTTACTATCGTGTCACATCACTGTGATGACTATTGCTAAAACTCCCTCACAGTTTGCTCCATTATACTCTCTAATACAAACAAGCTGCGAGATCACAGGCACTACTTGCCATGAATACATATCAATTAACATCCAATTAAGACAACCGCTGGCTGTTCCTTTTCAATCATGAGGACAGGCAACAAAACCCAAATCCACAAAGGTCATTTGCATCCCCTGACTCTCTGTAGTACATATTAGCATGCTGCTCTGCTAGCCCGACTGCTTTCATTGAAATGAAAAGTTGCTGTCCTGATGATTTACAACTCCAGTTTTCTTCTTTTGTGCATTTCCCACTCTGCTCCATCCCTTCAAAAGCTCCTTTTCTACATCCTGAATTTGTTACTGAGAAGTATTGCCATCATGCCCTTCGGTCCAAACATCACTGCAGTAATTCTCACTTGAAATTATCTTTTCCTGCAATTTCCTATTACAATATGTGGTTAAAAAGTCTGCTGATGTCAGTTCTTACTGTTCTGCAAATGCAAAGTAACTTTGTATGAACGCTCAAGATGAATGTCTAGCACGTTTTAATTGCTAAAAGTTAAGAGTTTCCAGTTTTAGACAACAGAATAATTAGAACAATAGTTAATGTGTACTTTTGATTTCCAGATACTAAGGCTGTTGGATTTTATTCTGCACCCTGGGTCATTTGGCTACTGCATGCTTTAGGAAGTATTAGAGAATGAGAGTCCACATTTCAAAAACCAGTTTCCCTGACCTTTCTCAAGCAAATTTCTCCACAGCCATTATAGTTCATATAATATTTCACTTAAATCATATAAGTAAGGAACATGACTTAGATGGCTCAGTACATAATTATGTTAGATATGCTGCAGGATCACCGCTGGGATCACAGTGTAATACCACATGCTCTTACAGGAGGTGACAGGCAAACATCACTGAAGCACATATTGAGACAACAGTGCTCTCTCTTTGCTTTTAGTTTTTCACTGCTCTACTCTGCTAGTAATAAACAGGCAATAAATTATATTCATCTCCTCATGCTGAATCTCTTCTCCTCGTGATGGTAATCATGGATGACCTTCCAGTCCTCACCTCAAACCTTGAGCCTTTTTTTGTTATTTTCTGCCCCTGATCTTTTGAGGATCAGAAGTGTGAGAGCAGAGAGGTGGGGTTTAGTTAGCCATCAATGTGAAACCACCACTCCATGCAGTCAGTGTAAAAAGGAAATATAAATGGACTTGTGCAGCAACACGAGACCAGGCCTTCTCTCTGTGTCCCACATATGTTTCGATGGTCATGGAAAAGCAGAGAACAAGAATATTTCCACTCAGGCATTTTAAATTAAATGAAGCCAGTTTCGGATGCATAATTAAATTTATGGGACTAGAAGAATGTGAAGGAGTTGGAGATGCTTCAACAGGTACATATTTCTTATTTGTCAGCACAACAAATTCTGCTTGGGATACTAAAATGGAGTTGGGTTCTTTCCACCTTCAGCATGAACAGTAAAAAGCCAAACTAGATGCTAAAGATCAATTGCCCAACGTGCCTACCATCTGTGGGTGTGGTACTGATACAACTGATTGAGACTTAAAAGGCAATTCTGAAGACAGTGTGCATAAAGGAATATAATTTTGCTCGTCCTTTTGGCTGTCTTGGCTTCTGGAGGTGAGAAGGGATAGAAGACTAAAAGTTGGGGATTTAATCTCTCATTAAAAGATAACATTGGAATCAAAAATACATTAAGATCAAATCTATTCACATCATTAAAAGTCTGCATTAGCATCATTTTGCAGATTACATTACCATTAAACACCCAGCAGAAGGTTAATCTGCATTTATGATTAAGTCTTGAGTTAGAAGCAGGTTACACAAAACACTTCAAATGTTGTAAGAAACAACTGCACTCACTCAAAGTGATGAGCTGGATTTCTTAACAAGATCTTTCCTTGGAGCTCCTGATTAATCAGTGCAGTTTGGGAAAAAAAATAAATCAGAGAAACAGAGACATCACTGAAGTCTGCAAGAACAACTCAAGCATTTTACTTTCCTGAGACATCTGAGTTCCATTTGTAATTGGAAAAAAAAGTCATACTTCACTGAAATGGCTTGTTCAACCTTCAAAATACGCACTGTTTATTATTATTTTGTTTATGGCTTATAACCTTTTGGCACATTTATCAAGTGGATTAACAGAATAAGTAAAACAAAATAACCAGAGTTAAGCAAGGATGGAAGGGAAGAATCACAGAATTGCTCAGGTTGGAAAAGACCTTAAAGATCATGAAGTTCAATTGCAAATGAACCATACTACCCTACCACTAACCACCCTCTGCTGAATGTGAAATTTAACGTTATCATGAGTAACTAGTGCAAAATTTAGAAATTGCTCTGATGTAAAAATTGGAGATATTGAACACCACCACATTGCGACAACTAATAATGCAGTACATCACTGCAGTAGTACATGCAAAGAAACTCCTTTTGACGTAGCTTCCTCAACTTTTGTAAACTGCACTCTCAAACGGTGCAAGAACCTAATTCATCATCAATACAACATGCTGATTCAATACCACACGTTCTCGATTGGAAAAGATGCTTACATTTAACCCATGAAATTATTAAGTTTTTATATACATGTTTATCTTCTTGCTGCTTGCTTTAATTCAGCTATTTTTATCTGGTGAATGCTCTTCAAAGGCTTCGAGTCTACACAGCTTTTAATCTCTCTCATGTAATCCGTACCCTGTTGGGGCTGGCAGCAGTAAATCATCTATTTTATTTGCAGGAGGCTGTAACTAAACCTTGCCAGATGTAAATCTTTTTGTATTCCTGCTTGCTGTTTCAGCTGCAAGCGATTCTTGTTTCTCAGTGCTCACATCACGGAAGCTAGATAGTTCCAAGAAAATTTAGTAAGCCTAGAGTCACCTACTGCAAGGCCTATTACACAGCTCTGCAATTATTCAAGCTAATACTGAGCAAATACAATGAGCAGGGCAAATTTGGAGTGTAATCAGAATGTGTGATTGAAACAGAACAGCACATAGAAGTTGCAGCCTCGTCAATGTAAGTAGTGGCTGCAGTAACAAAGCTGAAATATGGGCATCAATAAGAGTTACGTGTAAAAGAATGAGATGGTAGAATGGCAAAGCCTATGACCACCATCGTGGTATTTTTTTTTTCCTCTTTCTTTCTTTTTAAATGAGTCTGTAAGAAATGCTCTGTTGTGGCAATGGAAGATACCATTCTCTGACAGTGGCAATGGAAGATACCTTCTAGGAAAAGCAAGCACATCCAGCCACCTTCTGTCCAACCTCAGCTGGCTGCATGGCATATAGAAACCCAGATCTGATGGAGCTAGCAGTTGTTCCACACGCAGCACTCAAAACATCTTGAGCGTACATAAAGACTACAAAGGAAAAACTACAAGCCATCTTTTCTAAGCAATTAGTACAGCTGATGATTTTGCTGATAAGCCAACTGCAGAACCAACAACTCTTTTAGCCCGATCTGACCCATTTCTGTGCTCTGGATTTCCTTACCTCAAGTGAGCTAGAGTTTTACTAAGAGTCTTCAGCTCCTTTCCTGTTTCTTTAGAGGAGGTGAGCCTTTTCACTGATTCCAGCGGATCAGACTGAAAGTGATCAAATTGAGAATTAATATTAAGCTATTAAGAACAGCTCAGCACAGAGAAGGTACTTGCAGTCTCACAGTTCAGCTTTAATCACAGTTTTTCTGAGATAACCATCACCTGGGAGAGTATTATGAGATTTCATGAGCATGTAAACAAACCTTATACGATACGGCTCTACAAGCCCACGTGTATCTTAGAATGGTCTGGGTTGGAAGGGACCTCAAGGATCACGAATCTCCAACCCCCTGCCACATGCAGGGCCACCAACCTCCACATTTAATATCAGACCAGGCTGCCCAGGGCCCCATCCAACCTGGCTTTGAACACCTCCAGGAACGGGGCATCCACAGCCTCTCTGGGCAGCTGTTCCAGCACCTCACCACTCTCTTGGGCATAAGTGTGCTTCAACAGCTTTTGGTCATTGGCTGACATCAGGTTTGATAGAAGTCTTATGAGCAGCTAAGAGCCTGAGAGGTTTATGAAACTAAAACTGGAAGAAGAGACTCTTTGATCACCTAAGCTAAGGGAACAACAGCTGTGATTCTTATGCATCAAACTACAAAAAGCACACACAAGAGAGAAAACTTCTTCAGGTTCTAGTCCAGAAAAATGTTCAGACACAAAACAAGCTATTGACAAACAAACAAAAAAAAAAAGGCAAAGAAACAAAAAAGCAAGAGAGAGCATCACAGACATTGCTCTCTTTTTGGAGCACAGAGCGTAATGTATCCATTCTTTTCATTCTAACTTTTTTATTTAATTTTTTAGGACTGTACAAACCAGGTTCGTGATTTTACACAAGGGAATTAAAATCATCTCCTTTAGGGCACTGTTCAGAGTGCCTGCAACAGTTCTTCCTCTGAACAACTACGCATCCAAATTTATGGGAGATGAAAGATTTGCTGCGGAACTGCCCCTGCTTTAGAAGTACCCTTGGGACTTCCAGAGAACATCACAGAATTATGATCACATGCTGTGCACATACAGTGTTTTTGCACGTGTTAGTAAAGCTAATAAAACACGCAGCTGAGGCAGAGTTCAGTGTGCAAATGGTGCAAGGCTGAACTGCCACCCATTGAGAAGAGCAGCACCAGTGGGCACAGACTGAGGTGCAAGCTAAGGTGTTCCTTGGGACAAGCCTGTGCATTTCCAGTAAAGGAAAGTCCTACAGCCTTGGGCTTTTGAGATATAAGTATGTGCAATATTGGCCAACGTACACCAAAAATCATAACATTTTATTTAAAAAGTCATTTTGAATGCATTAGTCATTCGGTGCTTTAAGGTTGGTCCTCTATGATGAATGGAGTGACACTGCTAAATTGAATTTTCTGAGCATTCTTTTTACCAAATTACAATATGAACTTGTCTCACTCATCAGCAATAGTTTTATGAGAGAAAACTTATGATACGTCAGCAGAAGGTTCTTATGTATAGCAGAGCTTATAAACAGCAACCACTCGTATATACTCAAAGCATGATGCTTGTATGTTGGCTTCTTTAACTCCATGCTGAATCAAAGCTTCACCAGAAATGAAACTGCATACTCTAACCTTTGGATTGACAGAGCTCTCATCAGCAGTAACCTCAGCCACTTCTCCCTGCGGTCTTTCCTGCACGTCTTTTTTCACAGGTTCCTAAAAATGAACAACAAAAACATGTAGCCTTATGTATAAATGCAAGTTAGACATAGAGAAGTAGATCACCATTTTAAAAAAACAAGTGGTGCAAGCAACGTTTCCTACAGAGATGCAAACTAAATCAAAAATTAAGGCAAGTCTGATGCAGAAACACTTAAAACATCACTAACTCTGGCACTCAAACAGATTCTCATGTGAAGCACCTGCAGAAAAAATTACCGTGCAAAATGCATCCATGCTTTCTAAATTACTGCAATTGAATGTTGTTTTTTTTTTTAAAAAAAAAAAACCTCTTCTCATGGAAGGCTATTATCTACCATGTCTAACATAAAAAGAAAATCCAATTTCCAAAACAGGAATAAGAAATTACTTACCTGTAATTGCTCTTCCCTGCAGATACACACTGTGATGGATCAGTATTCGTGGGTCTGTGCTTTCACTCACCATGAAGGCACAGGCTCATGAAAAGCCCTGAAGTCAAACAATCTCATTTTTAGTTCTCCTTCAACCAGCACTTTATTCAAGTGGAAGGAAGATATATTTCCTCCTATTTAAATCACACACACACACATATATATATATACACACACACACATATTTATATGTAGATTAATAAAAAACTTCAGATCACTCAGCAGCCTATGGTACTCAGGCTAAAAGGGTATGAAAAATAGTAATTCCTTCCTGCAGTAGTTTCAGATCAAAGAGCTCGTTTATTGATCCCAAGCAAAGCAAAGCAGGAGGCCCTGGGAAGCTGCACCCATATAGCTAGTGCAGAACTGATGTGGAACAAAGGCTGAAAGACACAGCACAGCAAATGTGGAGCTGTAAAGCCTTGAAATATCTTCTAGATGTTTTAAAAATTCTTAAAAGCAAATCATTTTGCATGTTAGAATCTTGATCCTAGAAGGCACAAAATGTTTTCCAAATCTATGTTCCAATGTAACATGTCAACAGAATGAAAGCAGAAAGCATAAGGAGCAGAGTTCTTCACTCACTAGAAAGCTGTGCACACCAGAGTTGTAATGTAATGACTGAGGGCAGACCGGGAGCAAATAACAGAATAAAAAATAAGCAGAAATGATGCTAAGAGCAAAGCAGCTGGAACGGAAAAAAGATTTTCTGCAGTGTGTACAGATGAACTAATGAAGTGTCAAAGATGAGCGTGTGAAGGCTCTGCTATCTCTTGTGGCTGGGGAGCAATGGGACAAGGTGGGTGAGCAGCAGGGACAGATGGCAAGCCAACATTGCTGGGGAGAACATGTCTCACTTGCAGAGGGACACCAACGTACTTGAGCTGCCCTGGTGTTTGAAGAAAGCTCATTCACACAGCTGTGAGAAAGGAATCATTTTACTTCTGAGCAGGCTCCTGCATCTCACCCATAGCAAATGCAGAACTTCCACTCTGCTTTGCTCCTGATGCTTCTCCCCAGCAGAAACAGCAATATGTTGACCATGGCCAGCTACCATTGTTTTTACAGCTGGTGATACCTTGACTGATATGACTCTATCAACTAAGGCCTCTCAGAATAACTTACTACTTGAGGAGAGAAAGTGTTGGAATGCAGACCCAAAGTTTCAATTGCTCATAAGTACCAGTATGCTGATCATGAGTACAAACTATGGAGCACGAGGAGAAAAAATTTCCCAATATGACTCTTTCAGAGATTTCTGAGTGTGCTGAAAGAACAAATCTGTGACCAAAACTCTACAAGGTGCAACACATTACCCTGCATCCTAACTCTGGTCAGCCACCCCAGCCAGATCAGGAGGAAAGGCAATGAAAAGAGCTGTGAATCCACCTCTCCTTTGGCATAGTTGCTCAGGGAAGAAGGGAAGGGAGGTATCACATATGTCAGCCTCCTCTCAGGTACTGGTAATGAGATTCAATCAGCCATACCACAGAAAACAGAAGGGAATCGCTTCTTTTTCTATAACATTATCTTTCATTACAACGCCGCGTATTGAAAAGGTGCAATCTGAGCTTCAAACAGTAACAGTTCATAATGATGGAATGGTGTGATTCCTTCTTTTTAATTTGCAGTGCAGATATAAAATTAAAAAAAAAAAAACTGAGGAAAAAATATATTGGTAAGTCTAATTTGTTAAACTCAATAATATATTATCATGACAATCTGTAGGATCTTTGTGCAGAAGCAATAAATGGGCTTGGGTGGGTTTTTTTTAAATTTTTTTTTCTCATAGTGTTTCCAAATTTAGGTGAACTATGAGAAGTCTCCTCACTTGCTTTTAAGCCACCAAAATGCCTGTTTCACTCCTCATTTCCTGCTTTCATTATAGCGAAGAAACAAAATGATGTACAACTCCATATGTAAGAAAACAACATTTAAATACAAAAAAAAAAAAAAAAAAAGGTCCAAAGAAAGACTGAGGAAATTAATCCAAAAGGAGGTGGTTTTTCCTGAGCTCACACCCAGCAGACCTAGGTAAAGTCAACTGCAGGAGCAGCGCAGTCGGTGGAGCTCAATGCCACCTGGTTGGAGGCGAGCCCTTCCATTGCTATCATGGTTGGCTGGAGGCACACCCAAACCTCTGCTTTTCTTGCATAACAGTTTATGCAGTGCTTTGCATGCCCTCTCCATCTTTAGAAAGGAAACTGAAGGCTCAGAGTATTTTTGGAGGAACAAATCCTTTTGAATAGCTCGTTTCAGTCACAAACGACTGCCTCCAGACATGCTAGATTTTATCCTAACAGTTCCCAGGTACATCTACTTTCTCTTCTAAGTAATTATGAAGAGCAGAAATTGTTCAGCTCTGACACATCACAGTCTTTTATTAATCACACCTTGCATTTCACACACTTATCTTTGCAAATATCATTCCGAGTTTCCATTTTTTCTTCTTCAAATCCTATTGTGGAAATAGCATAGAATCACAGATTGGCTTGGATTGGAAGGGACATCAAGGATCATCAATTTCCAAGCCTCCTGCCACAGGCAAGGCCACCAACCTTCAGAGCTGCTACTGAACCAGGCTGCCCAGGGCCTCATCCAACCTGGCCTTGAACACCTTCAGGAACGGGGCATCTAAAACACTCCAGGCAGCCTATTCCAGCACCTCACCACTCTCTTGGTAAAGAACTTCCCCTCGATATACAACCTAAATCTTCCCTCCTTCAACTTAAAACCATTTCCCCTCGTCCTGCCTTTATCTACCCTTGTAAAGAGTTGACTCCCCTCCTGTTTGTAGGCTCCCTTTAGGTACAGGAAGGCTGCAGTGAGCATGCTGTGTTTGTCACCTACAGGAGGGGAGCTGTGGTATGTGGTATTTATGTTGTACATTTTCAACTTAGAACCTGTTATCTTGGCAATTCCTGAAGCTTTTTTCATGTTGGTCAGCTTGTTTGGTTTTTATGTTACAGGTAAAAACAGTGATTGAAACACCTATTGCACTCTTCTTCCTAATATCATTTAGCATCGTTCCTAATATCACTAGTAGCATTATGATTACATCTGCAAGATGTGAATGTGTTTTGACGAAGGCAAATCAGCACGGCCCTCTCACAAGCTACCCGATTGGTCATCCAGATGCAAGGCCAACCTGATGAAATATATTTGTCATTTTACAACAGCATTTAGAAAGCTCTTGTTAAGCAATACACAAGGACTACTGCTCTTCCGCAGGTAGCATTCTAAATGCTGATTTTTGTAGGCAGTATTCTAGCCAAGTAATCAAGGTATTTTAAATTTTTTCCCTATTTCTTCTTACACTGCTGCTGCTGAACACTGACCCTTCTTGCTCTTTCACTGGAATGAGGGAACAGATATTGGGACCAAAAGAGAATTTTAAATTAAACACAAGGGACTCCTAGGCAAAGGACTTCACTACCAATATCCTGCAGAAAACTAAGATTGCCTTAAGAGGAATGTCATTTTAGTGCTTTGGCTTAAAACTACACCACAGCAAGATGCAAATATACATCAGCCTCAAAGACGAGACACCTGATTCGTTAAGGTTATGCTTTACCACATCAATAATGCAAGGCACTCCATAGATGAGAATCTCTGCAGCCAATGGGAGCGTTTGCTAAGAGCTACTGCAGCAGCTTGCATTCCTTGGTCTTTGGTCAGAAACGGGCCTGATATCAATAGGGAGTGATACTCGTTTCACTGTTCTACCATCGGTGGTTTTAATGAGGGATGGAGCTCCAGTGCTGTCAGCTCCCATCCTGCGCTCTAGCGAACGCATTACTGTCAATAAAGACACATCAGAGAAATGGAAGGAGGCAGCTGAGAAGTGAGAGAGAGGTTATCTACTAGTAATGGCATAAGAACGAAATTTGGAATAAGTAGGCTCAATTTCACATCTGTCAGAAAATTCTTCTGCCATTCTAAATAAAACATGTAACACCTTATCCCAGCCTGCAGGCCCTAACCCACCCCCACTTCTTTCTGACTACAATAGATTCTGGTACAAGAATCTCAGCTCACCATGCCTCTACTCCTTATATCTGAAATGCCACAAACAACACTGCTCATTTCTTAACTTTTTTAGTATTCAGAAAGGGTACATAAAGACAGACTGCTGTTTACCCAGCAAAACCAGCTCACATAGCTTGATATTTATCCCAATTTGCCTCAGCTTGTCACATTCTCCAGGAAAATCCTTTTTTTATTTTCTTTTCTCCAAAGAATGTTCATAGAATCATAGAATGGCTATGGAAGGGACCCCAAAGGATCATCATCATATTTACTGAATTCTGGTAAGTGTGATAAATTTTGTAAAATAATCGGATCTAATTAGTCTCAACTGTAACTCTATTTGCTCCACAGTTACTTTGAATATTATATGACCTGCCATCTTTTTTTTCCTCCATAAGTTCTTTTCACTGCAAAAAACGCACAGCCTAAATATTCTGCATTGCATCCTTACAAGTCAAGGCAAGAAAACATGCAAAAAAAAAAAAAAAAATCAACACAAAATAGATGGCTTCTATGACATCTCTCCTTATTCCTCGTATTTCTATCAGTCACGTG